CAGCCACGTCTAAATGGAATTGATTATGTTTGTGTTTCCGGGGTTGTTGAGAAAATAGGTACCTAATAATGTTATTGATTAGCGATTCCCCCGCATTCTGTTCGATGTTCAGTTATGTCGTCGCAGATCAAGAGTTCTCTTTTTAATAATATGACAATTAGGACGAGACTGAAAACATTTTAGGAAACCAACGTAAGCATGAAAATTACTGGTCGATCTTGGGGAACATAAAAATTCATTGAGTTTTACTTAAATGGAAATGGTTTGTAATTATTCAACCAGACACTGTTGAAATAAGGAGTTACCGATGGCTACACGTGTTTGTTTATATTTCATTTTTTTAAACTGACATAATAAAATATACTCCAGTCATAGAATATGCTAAAGAGGAACACGTTTTATGGATAGACAACTTCTTTGTGTCAACCAAGTCAGCGAGCCTGACCACCCGATACCGTTAGTCGCCTCTTACGACAAGCATGGATAACTGAAGATCAATTCTAACCCGGATCTTCACAGGTGTATTTTTTGGACCACGTATGACTTTTAATCCAAATTTGCTGCCGTTTTTCTCCAGTAAAATAGTGTACATTACGCCGTAACGCTGATTCATTAATCTGGAATCCGGAATTTAGACTATGTCACTGTAGCTGGGATTGTATGGATTAACAGAGTTGGATTCGTATTTTCTATTACTTGGGAGCACATTTTGTACAATGATACAACTATCTGTATACAATTAATGCATGCAAACCAGTCCAACCTTCACGTGTCAATTTCGAAGAAACACATTAATAAAATGATACAAGAAACATGGTGAGACATAATACTGAAAATATTCAGAAAAGGTTTCAGTTCATTTACTCCAATGTTCAGGCAGATGTTATTACCTGCGCCTGTCAGATGACATAATTACATGATAACGATAGACACTGATTTCACTGTAATCGGGATAATACTGTCAATTCATCCATTTCTATCGCATCAATATTATATTACATGATAATTTGACAGCAACGATGAAGAAATAGTTACCTTAAAATGCCGACAGCCTTATTAATGGAATTCCGTTTACTGCATAATTGACCGTACTTCACAATGCCAGACTACATAACAATTATACCCTGAGGCAGGTCATGGAAAGACGAGGACCTCGTATTTTGTATCAGTTGTTATCGCAGTAGTTGATTTGATACTTGATTGCGAGCCAGGAAATGACATGTTTTCAGCTGCAATCAGATAAAGACTGATTGCATTCCTCAACTTATGATCACACATGTACGGTCGAGTAGAGATGTTCTTTGTTACGATGGCAATAAAAAGGAGTTGCTCGGGTTGAAGACATCAGTTACAATTCTCGTGTGGATGTGTGCACAGTTGGCTTTTATTGGATTGTCCGTCACGTAGGTTTTGCTCTCTGAAAGGTACGTCATTTGATTGCAAGTATGCGATATCTTTAACATTATGCTACAACAAATCACATTTCAAACAAAACTGTAAGCATCACAGAAACACAATGCGATATATTAACAAGTACTATCTATATTATCATGTATTTGCACTGGGATAAAAGATCGTGATAAAATTCAATACACAAATAGAGCACTTCCTTAAGTGGCATAGATTACTATGTTAACTTATGGGTGAAAATGAATGTTGCGATAGGTTTGTTTGTATATACGTTTGTATTTTGTCCTGTAATTACTGAATTACCGGCTAATACGCTTGCTTCTGGTTTAACAATAAATATATAGTTAAATAAAATAGAAAAAATGTATAATTATTCACTGGTCCTGAAAATGATGTGGTTTCTCAAGACTGTTTGGCTAATTCGTTTTGATATGACAGCTGAACGTATGTCTTGAAGCACTATTTGTAAGTATCCTAACTTTTGGTCATTTATATACATTTTATCGGTATATTTTTAGTAACAGACTGCATCGTTAATTGCAGAGCAGGTCATGTTTTATCTAATACATGTTCGATGTGATTCCGGATGTTGACCTGAACCATATGTTCATTGTTTAAATACATGCCTTGACTTTGGATGTGTTTGTGACAGTGCAGGAGGCAGGATATGCATAAGCTTATCGCGCACACCCTGTATCGTTGTCAACAAATAGCGATTCATAAACACATCTTACAAGACAGAAATCACTTTCTGCAGATATTTCTTATGCTTAACTCTCAATAAACAAGAACATATATATAACACACTCTGAAATAGGGTCTGGGCAGATTTTAATATATAAATAGTTGTTGCATACAATAGGTCCTAGGTCAGCATGTGGTGACCTTACATGGATGAATAAATCTCCAAATGTGACAAATTCACTGTATCAAATTTCATAAAAATCAGAATCGCAAATTGCCACCCTACAAACGCCATAGTTATAGCGTCTACACACCTTAACACCTTCAGGTGTGAAAGGTCCCTCGGTCTACTTGGCGTATGATGCTTGGGATTAGTAGTACCAGCTGCCTCGCCCATCTGTGGCAACTCTTTCTTTAGCGGTCTGTGAGTTGGCTCTCGGGATGAGCCGATAATCCCTAATCTCTTGCGACGGGGTGCCCCATCGGAAGTTCTCAGTTATTCGTTTCGCTCTGTTTTCCTGATCACTTTCTGCAGATATTTCTTATGATTATGGAAATGGTTTTGACCCTTTAAAAGTTTTATTTATATCCGCATACACACATATTCCATGAACCAAATATGATGCTGTTCGTTATATGCGTTGTGAATTAAACTTGTTTCCGCTAAAGCTTACACAACGGGGTAGCTCTACAGAGGGATAATGTAGTTCTCGTTAAATTTACATGCACTGAAACGCTGAATTGTGTTGGGAATGATTATGTGCTTACTTTTTCTTCTTCATGTTTTGGTTAGCCTAGTGGTGATCACGTGCTGGGTACATTTTCATTTCTTCCCCGCCGTGATATTGCTATTTACGCGACATGTTTACGCGACAACAAATTAACTCATGCGATAAAAGTGGTATTTGTCTTACTTTTGGCATGTAGGAATCCCTTGGGATTTAGAACCCGCGAAAATCAGGGTCAGAATATATTTTGTTCTTCAGCAACTCATGCTTGTCGTAAGAGGCTTATGGGATCGGGTGATCATGCTCGCTGACGAGGTCATCGTATCTCACTTGCTCAGGGGTCTTCCCACTTACCCAACACCTATTGTTTCAGTAAAAGAAATCACTGGGGTGTGATAATCCCCTTTAATCCCGGATTTTGTTCCCTGTGAAATACTATCCAGGACCAAATGGGATAAAATACTACTAATTTTGACTCAATGTTTATCTAAATTTATTAATCATATAATATAGTAGTTATCCAGTTATACAAGTTTTCCATTTATACAACTTAATACAACATCAACATCATATCACATATTACATCAATATTTCACAGCACACTTTTCACACTTCATATCCAGTTAAATGTGATACTGAGTCATTGTATGACATCAGAGTTGTGGCACCAGTTGTTAGTTCTCTCTTGTACATTTCCAAGGCATGGTTTAGTGCCACATGTCTTCTCTTCCTAGGTGGAGGTCTGGCATCGTATTTCAGCTGTAGAACACATGCCTCTACCCAGGCTTGTTCCTTCTTAAAACCCGTGGTGTAGTGGTTAGAGCGTCCGTCCGCGGCCGGAGAGTGGAAGGTCGCGGGTTCGATCCCCGACCGCGTCATACCAAAAGACGTTAAAATATGGTACTTGTTGGTCCCTGCCTGGCGCTCGGCATTAATGGGTACAACAAGGACTGGTCGGCTCGGAGTCAGTATAATGTGTCTGAGTGGGGTATTCATGCTTCACTGCGGCATGGTATCTCAGTTGGCTAGCACTGTAAAACCAGCTTAAGTCTGGGCGAGTACAAGCAGCCGCACATACACATACACACGCATGCACGTCGTCATATCAGCGAAATATTCTCAAGCACGACGTAAAACCCAATTTCACCTCACCTCATCTTCATATTTACGCGACAACACAAATTAACTCTGGTATTTGTCTCCGTTTTGGCATGTAGGAATCCCCTGTGATTTAGAACCCGTGAAAATCAGGGTCAGAATATATTTTGGTCTTCAGCAACCCATACTTGTCGTAAGAGGCGACTAACGGGATCGGGTGATCAGGCTCGCTGACTTGGTCATCGTATCCCAGTTGCTCATACTGACTGTCTGGTTCAGATTCGATTATTGACAGACCGCCGCAATATAGCTTGAGTAATGCTCAATCCGCAGTCAGTAATATTCCAGCTATATGGCGGCGGTCTGTAAATAATCGAGTCTGGACCAGACAATCCAGTGATCAACAGCATGAACATCGATCTGAACAATTGGGAACCGATGACATGTGTCAACCAAGTCAGCGAGCCTGACCACCCGATCCCGTTAGTCGCCTCTTACGACAAGCATGGGTTACTGAAGACCAATATTCTAACCCGGACCTTCACGGGTCATTGTGTATCAGAATTCAGAAGAGATCCATTATGTTGTATCTCCTGCTGGTGATGAGATACGGCTTAGCTGGTATCGTGATATCCATCATTCACATACAGGGTGGATACTATCTCTCTCCATCTGGTTATTGGTTTGTACGACTCAGATTCGATTATGTACTGCGATGCGTTATAATCTACAAGCAGCCACCTTATCCGTCAGAAAAGAACAAATTTAATTCATTGTTCGTGCCTCGAAGACTCCTTTCCTAAATAAAGATTGGCATGCTAAACAGAATATATAGATATGGAAGAGATTCAGTGGAAATTCAAGAGACGTTACTACATCAGCCCCTTCATGGTGACATGTGGGTCTGAAGGGAACGCCATCTAATTCGTTTCTGAAATTGTCTCTAGTGGTCCAGTTCTGCTAATTTACACGCCCATGTGATATTACTGAAGTATTGATTGAGCCGTACGTTAGAGTACTTCAGAATATGCTCACACTCATAGTTTTTGGAATAATGTTGATTTTGAAAATCACTTTCAGGTACATCAACTGTATATCATGATGGGCGTTCTGGATACTTCCCTCTTTGCCCTTGTCCTTGTCTGCCCGGTGGTGACCACAACTACCCCTGACCTGGCGTCGGTGTCTCTGCAGGTTCAGCAACTACAGACTGAAGTGTCCAACCTGACCTCAGAGCTTGCCAACGTCACGGGAGAGTTACTGAGACACCAATCAGAGGTCAGGAAATTCGCGTCCTACGTTGAGAACATACAACGAATTATTGCCTATGGTAGTCGCCATGGTCAGTTTGGAGTTGAAGGTTGGTTTGCTCATATATGATTTTTTTCGTTGATAGACATAAACATACACGTGTCAGTCATATGCTATTGCGACAAACAAAGTGACAGGCATGTTTTACAGATCTTACGATAACACCATTTTAGATATCAAAATATGTATAGATTGCATATTTTGTGTTTCCTTGTGATCGTAGTAGCGCAGTAATACATATCAAAATCGTCATGAGTGACGTCATTCGTCTTGCTGTCTACTGGTCATAATAGTGTGACCACCCACAAGAACTGTTTCAGCTTCATTGATGGCTTCTCAATACAATGGTCAGCACGCCTACTACATAAGATCAAAGAACATGTGTTAAACACTTCAAAGCCATAAAGTTTCCACCCAGAGTAAATTACAATCAGTAATGTAATCGCAAAGTAGTCTATCGTTGCCTGATTTTATCAAACAGGAGTAGCGCACAAATCACAGACCTGGACATCGATGTAACACATATGTTTGACACTCGTTATCTCAAAACGGTGCCACAGCTATGGCTGCATAAGCAATATCAACAGTGAGCTCACAGTCGCTTTTTCTGTTTACTTGGTATTTACGTCTTCTGACAATTTGCTCACCGTCTCTTTCGCTGTATACTTGGTACTTACGTCTTCTGACAATTTGCTCACCGTTTCTTTCTCTGTATACTTGGTATTTACACCTTCTGACAATGAGCTCACAGTCGCTTCCTCTGTATACTTGGTATTTACGTCTTCTGACAATTTGCTCACCTTCTCTTTCGCTGTATACTTGGTATTTACGTCTTCTGACAATGAGCTCACCGTCTCTTCCTCTGTATACTTGGTATTTACATCTTCTGACAATGAGCTCACCGTCTCTTCCTCTGTATACTTGGTATTTACGTCTTCTGACAATGAGCTCACAGTCGCTTTCTCTGTATACTTGGTATTTACGTCTTCTGACAATGAGCTCACCGTCTCTTCCTCTGTAGGCTTGGTATTTACGTCTTCTGACAATTTGCTCACCGTCTCTTCCTCTGTATACTTGGTATTTACGTCTTCTGACAATTTGCTCACCTTCTCTTTCGCAGTATCCTTGATATTTACGCCTTCTGACAATGGGCTCGCCGTCTCATTCGCTGTATGCTTGGTATTAACGTCTTCTGACAATGGGCTCACAGTCGCTTCCTCTGTATACTTGGTATTTACGCCTTCTGACAATGAGCTCGCTGTCGCTTCCTCTGTACACTTGGTATTTACGCCTTCTGACAATGGGCTCGCAGTCTCTTTCGCTGTATACTTGGTATTTACGTCTTCTGACAATTTGCTCACCGTCTCTTTCTCTGTATACTTGGTATTTACGCCTTCTGACAATGAGCTCACAGTCGCTTCCCCTGTATACTTGGTATTTACGTCTTCTCACAATGAGCTCACAGTCGCTTTCTCTGTATACTTGGTATTTACGTCTTCTGACAATGGGCTCACAGTCGCTTCCTCTGTATACTTGGTATTTACGTCTTTTCACAATTTGCTCACCGCCTCTTCCTCTGTATACTTGGTATTTACGTCTTCTGACAATTTGCTCACCGTCGCTTCCTCTGTAGGCTTGGTATTTACGTCTTCTGACAATTTGCTCACCGTCGCTTCCTCTGTAGGCTTGGTATTTACGTCTTCTGACAATTTGTTCACAGTCGCTTCCTCTGTATACTTGGTATTTACGTCTTCTGACAATGAGCTCACCGTCTCTTCCTCTGTATACTTGGTATTTACGTCTTCTGACAATGGGCTCACAGTCGCTTCCTCTGTATACTTGGTATTTACGTCTTTTCACAATTTGCTCACCGCCTCTTCCTCTGTATACTTGGTATTTACGTCTTCTGACAATTTGCTCACAGTCGCTTCCTCTGTAGGCTTGGTATTTACGTCTTCTGACAATTTGCTCACCGTCGCTTCCTCTGTATACTTGGTATTTACGTCTTCTGACAATGAGCTCACCGTCTCTTCCTCTGTATACTTGGTATTTACGTCTTCTGACAATGGGCTCACAGTCGCTTCCTCTGTATACTTGGTATTTACTTCTTTTCACAATTTGCTCACCGCCTCTTCCTCTGTATACTTGGTATTTACGTCTTCTGATAATTTGCTCACCGTCGCTTCCTCTGTAGGCTTGGTATTTACGTCTTCTGACAATTTGCTCACCGTCGCTTCCTCTGTATACTTGGTATTTACGTCTTCTGACAATGAGCTCACCGTCTCACCCTCTGTATACTTGGTATTTACGTCTTCTGACAATTTGCTCACCGTCACTTCCTCTGTAGGCTTGGTATTTACGTCTTCTGACAATTTGCTCACCTTCTCTTTCGCAGTATCCTTGATATTTACGCCTTCTGACAATGGGCTCGCCGTCTCATTCGCTGTATGCTTGGTATTAACGTCTTCTGACAATTGGCTCACAGTCGCTTCCTCTGTATACTTGGTATTTACGCCTTCTGACAATGAGCTCACCGTCTCTTTCTCTGTATACTTGGTATTTACGCCTTCTGACAATGAGCTAACAGTCGCTTCCTCTGTATACTTGGTATTTACGTCTTCTGAAAATGAGCTCACAGTCGCTTCCTCTGTACACTTGGTATTTACGCCTTCTGACAATGGGCTCGCAGTCTCTTTCGCTGTATACTTGGTATTTACGTCTTCTGACAATTTGCTCACCGTCTCTTTCTCTGTATACTTGGTATTTACGCCTTCTGACAATGAGCTCACAGTCGCTTCCCCTGTATACTTGGTATTTACGTCTTCTCACAATGAGCTCACAGTCGCTTTCTCTGTATACTTGGTATTTACGTCTTCTGGCAATGGGCTCACAGTCGCTTCCTCTGTATACTTGGTATTTACGTCTTTTCACAATTTGCTCACCGCCTCTTCCTCTGTATACTTGGTATTTACCGTCTTCTGACAATTTGCGTCGCTTCCTCTGTAGGCTTGGTATTTACGTCTTCTGACAATTTGCTCACCGTCGCTTCCTCTGTAGGCTTGGTATTTTCCTGACAATTTGTCACCGTCGCTTCCCTCTGTATACTTGGTATTTACGTCTTGACTCCTCTGCTCTTGTCTATTTTGCTCCTCTGTACCGTCTTGGTGTATTTACGTCTTTCTGACAATTTGCTCACTGTCGCTTCCTCTGTAGGCTTGTATGTTGTCTTTTGACAATTTGCTCCATTTGCATTTGGCTATTTACGTCTTCTGACAATTTGCACTCACCGTCGCTTCCTCTGTATGCTTGGTGATTTGTCTTCTGACAATTTGCTCACCGTCGCTTCCTCTGTATACTTGGTATTTACGTCTTCTGACAATGGGCTCACCGTCGCTTCCTCTGTATACTTGTATTTACGTCTTCTGACAATGGGCTCACAGTCGCTTCCTCTGTATAATTTGGTATTTACTTCTTTCTCACAATTTGCTCCACCGCCTCTTTCCTCTGTATATTTGGTACTTGGTATTTCACCATCCTTCCTCGTCTTCTTCTGACATTTGCTCACCGTCGCTTCCTCTCTATATGGCTTGGTATTTACGTCTTCTGACAATGAGCTCACCGTCTCCCCTCTGTATTCTGACAATTTGCTCACCGTCGCTTCCTCTGTAGGCTTGGTATTTACGATCTTCTGACATTTGAGCTCACCGTCTCACCTCCTCTTTCGCAGCATCCTTGTATTTACGCCTTCTGACAATGGGCTCACAGTCTCATTCTGTATGCTTGGTATTAACGTCCTCTGTCTCTGGTATTTACGCCTTCTGACAATCTTCCTCTGTACACTTGGTATTTACGTCTTCTGACAATGAGCTCACAGTCGCTTCCTCTGTATATACTTTGTATTTCTGACAATGAGCTCACCGTCGCTTCCTCTGTATACTTGGTATTTACGTCTTCTGACAATTTGCTCACCGCCTCTTCCTCTGTATACTTGGTATTTACGTCTTCTGATAATTTGCTCACCGTCGCTTCCTCTGTAGGCTTTTGTGGCTATTTACGTCTTCTGACAATTTGCTCACCGTCGCTTCCTCTGTATACTTGGTATTTACGTCTTCTGACAATGAGCTCACCGTCTCACCCTCTGTATCACTTGGTATTTACGTCTTCTGACAATTTGCTCACCGTCACTTCCTCTGTAGGCTTCTGTATTTACGTCTTCCTGACAATTTGCTCACCTTCTCTTTCGCAGTATCCTTGATATTTACGCCTTCTGACAATGGGCTCGCCGTCTCATTCGCTGTATGCTTGGTATTAACGTCTTCTGACAATTGGCTCACAGTCGCTTCCTCTGTATACTTGGTATTTACGCCTTCTGACAATGAGCTCACCGTCTCTTTCTCTGTATACTTGGTATTTACGTCTTCTGGCAATGGGCTCACAGTCGCTTCCTCTGTATACTTGGTATTTACGTCTTTTCTGTATTTGCGTCTTTTTCATTTGCTCACCGCCTCTTCCTCTGTATACTTGGTATTTACGTCTTCTGACAATTTGCTCACCGTCGCTTCCTATGTAGGCTTGGTATTTACGTCTTCTGACAATTTGCTCACCGTCGCTTCCTCTGTAGGCTTGGTATTTACGTCTTCTGACAATTTGTTCACAGTCGCTTCCTCTGTATACTTGGTATTTACGTCTTCTGACAATGGAGCTCACCGTCTCTTCCTCTGTATACTTGGTATTTACGTCTTCTGACAATGGGCTCACAGTCGCTTCCTCTGTATACTTGGTATTTACGTCTTTTCACAATTTGCTCACCGCCTCTTCCTCTGTATACTTGGTATTTACGTCTTCTGACAATTTGCTCACAGTCGCTTCCTCTGTAGGCTTGGTATTTACGTCTTCTGACAATTTGCTCACCGTCGCTTCCTCTGTATACTTGGTATTTACGTCTTCTGACAATGAGCTCACCGTCTCTTCCTCTGTATACTTGGTATTTACGTCTTCTGACAATGGGCTCACAGTCGCTTCCTCTGTATACTTGGTATTTACTTCTTTTCACAATTTGCTCACCGCCTCTTCCTCTGTATACTTGGTATTTACGTCTTCTGATAATTTGCTCACCGTCGCTTCCTCTGTAGGCTTGGTATTTACGTCTTCTGACAATTTGCTCACCGTCGCTTCCTCTGTATACTTGGTATTTACGTCTTCTGACAATGGCTCACCGTCTCACCCTCTGTATACTTGGTATTTACGTCTTCTGACAATTTGCTCACCGTCACTTCCTCTGTAGGCTTGGTATTTACGTCTTCTGACAATTTGCTCACCTTCTCTTTCGCAGTATCCTTGATATTTACGCCTTCTGACAATGGGCTCGCCGTCTCATTCGCTGTATGCTTGGTATTAACGTCTTCTGACAATTGGCTCACAGTCGCTTCCTCTGTATACTTGGTATTTACGCCTTCTGACAATGAGCTCACCGTCTCTTTCTCTGTATACTTGGTGTGTATTTACGCCTTCTGACAATGAGCTAACAGTCGCTTCCTCTGTATACTTGGTATTTACGTCTTCTGAAAATGAGCTCACAGTCGCTTCCTCTGTACACTTGGTATTTACGCCTTCTGACAATGGGCTCGCAGTCTCTTTCGCTGTATACTTGGTATTTACGTCTTCTGACAATTTGCTCACCGTCTCTTTCTCTGTATACTTGGTATTTACGCCTTCTGACAATGAGCTAACAGTCGCTTCCCCTGTATACTTGGTATTTACGTCTTCTCACAATGAGCTCACAGTCGCTTTCTCGGTATACTTGGTATTTACGTCTTCTGACAATGGGCTCACAGTCGCTTCCTCTGTATACTTGGTATTTACGTCTTTTCACAATTTGCTCACCGCCTCTTCCTCTGTATACTTGGTATTTACGTCTTCTGACAATTTGCTCACCGTCTCTTTCGCTGTATCCTTGGTATTTACGTCTTCTGACAATTTGCTCACAGTCGCTTCCTCTGTATGCTTGGTATTTACGTCTTCTGACAATTTGCTCACCGTCTCTTTCGCTGTATTATTGGTATTGACGTCTTCTGACAATTTGCTCACCGTCGCTTCCTCTGTAGGCTTGGTATTTACGTCTTCTGACAATTTGCTCACCTTCTCTTTCGCAGTATCCTTGATATTTACGCCTTCTGATAATGGGCTCGCCGTCTCATTCGCTGTATGCTTGGTATTTACGTTCATATCCTTTTCGTCATTTTCCTTCTTAATGTGGCCTAGAACTGATTGTAGCTCGTTGTTAATTGCTCATTCTCTGACCTTTTAGATAGCGCACCATACGTCTTCTGACGTGTTTTCAACATGAACAAGTACGTTGTTTACCTATACAGGATATCTGTGTATGTATCACAGGTCTGTAGAGCCACTAGAGCAATTGCATCTCACCACTCTGTTGACAGTGACTCCGTGAAAGAGGTTCCCCAATATATAAGGCATGAAATATGAAGCATAAGACTTTTTCAAAATTATATACTTTTCATTCTTGACCTGTGTTAAAAGGCCTAGGGAAACCTTGAGGCGGGCACCTTACCTGCACGGATATTAGAAATATCGCAGTGGCGCGGTTTATATCATAGAAGCAGCAGCAAGGCAGGACAATATCGTGTAAGGGGCGCAGCAATTCCTTGTTCAATTGTGTCACTTAGTTGCAAGAATTCGAAGTGATGGCTTTTGAAAGTGAGAGCTTCTTCTTTTCCCAACGTTCCCACGAATGTCACTTTAACATTAAAGTAACATGGACAAATGCGAATGAATGAGCTACATTATACTGTTATCGTATCATACACCAGATTAATCATATGCTTACTAAAGCTGACTTCTCTACATTTCAGCCTCCGTGGGTTTCCAAGCAGAGTTAGAAATGAACCCCGCACCAGTAGTCGACCGTGAAGTTCTCACCTTCTCTCACGTATCCCAAAATAGGGGAGACTGCTATAACGCATCAACAGGTATCTTCACTGCTCCTGTTGCGGGCATCTACCTTTTCTGGTGCAACATCATCAACTACGATCGGCATAACTCACTCTCCATCTACATATACCGTGACTATAAACCTCTGAGCTACGCCATGGCCCCACCCGACGTATATCAAGGAGCTGCATCTGTCTCGGCGTTGACTCATCTGAAGGTTGGAAGCAAGGTGTGGTTTGTGAAGCACAGAGGATCTGAGTCGCTGCAAGGTGCCGGATGGTCCAGTTATGGAGGAACTCTGATCAGAGTTGGTTGATGGAGACTGACTGACTGACTGAGTTTCGTTTTACGCCGCTTTTAGCAATATTCCAGCAACATCACGGCGGGGGACACCAGAAATGGGCTTCACACATTGTACCCATGTGGGGATTCGAACCCGGGTCTTCAGCGTGACGAGCCAACGCTTTAACCATTAGGCTACCCCACCGCCCCGGTTGATGGAGAAACACTGTATAAGTTATATACTGACTGGTATGGAAGTATTGGTTGTGTGCATGGGACGGATGAAAGATTATGATGCATGAAAGACATGCTGTTGTCAGGGTAAACTGTTAACCACAAACCTCAGTTATTTTGTGAATAGTATTTTAAGACAATTATACCTACTCAAGACCTTTTATTAATATATAACTTTGACGTGTAACTTGCACGGATATTATCGCCTGTAGACAACATATGGAATGTTTAGAGAACTTCACAGTTATGGGGGCTGTTATATGATGTTTCCTAGAATGTACTCACTGTCGTGATTTTGTTGTATATAGATAACCATATGTTACGGGCCAAGTTTTAGAATACTGATCGTACGTTCTGAAAATGAACGTCGGACGGTTTGAAGAGAAACTGTTCCCACCATTTCATTCGTGAAACAACGATTATGGACATGTTCGTGTGTCACTGTGTTATGATCCATGAAGGAATTTTCTTTTGTTATTGTTTTCTAAATAAAGTAATCTTTTGTTTAAGATGTCTCTTTTTTGTAAAAATCACGAAAATATATCACACCTTATCAAAACATTGCGTAACACATTTCCCCCGCCGTGATATTGCTGGAATATTGCTAAAGGCGGCGTAAAACTGAACTCACTCACTCACTCATTGCGTAACAAGTCAAGGACACCAACTATTCTATGTTACGTTTTGCAAATAAGTTGCTCCATGAAATACTGGGAATACGTAATTTTGATGAGGTTTTCCTAAAGAGATCCGTTGGCTGGATATACGATAATAAGAGAGATATGTTCGCCTGTAAAATCTGCCAAAGTGCATGTGACTCATTATTATGTTTTTGGTAATACTATTCATATAGCGCTGTTGTCCATCCCATACACATTCATGCTCAAAGCGCTTTGTTTTTTTCCCCTCGATAACTGGATGTATGTCAATCTCAACGGTACATCGTATTTTCAATCTCAACTCGCTGGGGATCATGCTTATAGTGCAGCCACTAGGCGCGCCAAGTTACTGCTGCTTTCCAATCCTTACGAGGTATCCATTCACAGCTGGGTGGACTGGGACACATAGTCACAGTACTTTGTCCACGTTGTACTGCACGATGCTGTACGTTGCTGTTATTCTCAGTGGCACGGTGGCGACTGTGGGATTGATCTCTGACTCGACCGCATGGATAGCGGACAGAGCGTCTGGAGAGCGACAAATAAGACAAATCGTGAGACTTGAAAAAATAGTACGTGTTACACTTGTCTGAGACTCGGCAGTAAGGCATCCACGCATGAACACACGTAGGTTGCAATATATTCTGCCCTCTGTTGATGTGCGGTTTGAAGATACTGATTCTTTGGACGTCCATTAAACTTTTCACATGTAGGAGAATGATGCAACATTCAGCGTTGGTTCAAAGATCAATAATCACTTAGAAGAATGACACCGCCATCTTAATGCCATAATAAGGACCACTGACTCGCCAGACCAACTATCTTCAACATAAAGGCTCTGATATCTTCAGTCCTAGTTCAGTCCTATAACACAAGGCGCCTTACCCATTGACGCCTTACTCGTGTACTGCTTCGTCTATATCGTCTCAGCTGATTTCGGTATATCATGGGTGTTACTGGACCATTTCATTATAATGATATCTGATACCCCAGTAATTTGATGACTTCTTTCTCATCACTGGGACGAAAAGGGTGAATCCAAGGTTGTTTGTAAATTCTAAAAGAAGCACCTTCAAGACATTTTGTATTTGCAAACATTTTTATGCGTTGGCTATATGATTCAAACAAACCTAACATTTTACGATCAAACGTTTCATCCTGGAGGCATAAATAGAGGGGGCGTTGGGGTAGTCTAGTGGTAAAAGCGTTGGCTCGTCACGCCGAAGACCCGGGTTCGAATCCCCACATGGGTACTATGAGTGAAGCCCATTTCTGGTGTCCCCGCCGTGAAATTGCTGGAATATTGCTAAAAGCGGCGTAAAACCAAACGCAGTCAGTCAGTCATAAATAGAGGATATTATATGAGTGCCCATGTCATACTATGTTTACGACACGAGTGCCTAAAATGTTGGTATTTCCTGAGGGATATACCGATAGTTAGGCACGAGTGTCGTAAACATAGTATAATGGGCACGAATATGATATTCTGTTTATTACCGAAGTCGTAAAATTGAGGAAAATAAACCCAAATCTACTTTCAAACATAGGCTGGCTACCCGCCGTCGCCGCATGTAGAACACAACGTCACAGGAGAAACGTGACGTCATAACATTGTTCATGACGTCACGTCACCATGACAAAGTGATATTTTGCCCTAGGGCATCGTATGAAATAGATGAACCCCGATATTTTCGCCCTCGTAGGTAATAAACTTAAATATGCACACGCTATAGATCTATAAATGTGTACTATAATAAAGTTCTAGTTGTAGTTATGCTCAGCAATAAATATGACTTTTATTACATTCAATTTCAACTTCGTCTCTGAGCACAATACGATTAGGAGTCTGAAATTGCAGCTTGAAATTGTCTCTTGAATTATTCAGTGTTTTAATGTTATGTGGTGCCAACCAATTGTGTAAATGTACTCTGGTGCATAACAAGGATGGTTAAGTTGTACACGCTTTTCGGTACTCTACAATGGGTGTCATTTACCATGCCCGCCACTGGTATCGTGTTCTGTTTACTCACTCACCACCACAGCGTTGTTATCTTGTAGCCTTTTCATTTGTGTTTATAACGCGTCCAACATCCTACGTACGTTAGTGAGTGTGATTTTACATCGACCCTATCGGTTCCAGCAATATGGCGACTGACACAAAAACGGGTACTGAGCAAAAAGAGCCGAACGAAAGCTTAACCCACCTGGTTAATTCACTACTTCAAAAAATGCACCTCAATCATATATTTGGATTTCTCCAACATTGTCTCACTTACATTAAACTGGTGATGTTTGTTTGGTTAAAGGAAACAAACAAAACGTTATATTTGTTTGTTTTGTTGTTTAATGCCACACTCGGCAAGTTTACAGATATATGGCGGCGGTCTGTAAATACTGAAGTCTGGACCAGACAATCCAGTGATAAACAGCTTGAGCATCGATCTACGTAATTGGGATACGGTGACATGTGTCAACCAAGAGTGCGAGTCTGACCACGCGATCGCGTTGATCGCTTCTTACGACAAACATGGGTTGCTGAAGACCAATTCTAACCCGGATCGTCACGGGTACAAAACATTGTAAATATATGCGGTAAGTAACCGGGAAGGTAGTGTAATTGTTAATTATGGTTTGTTGTGAGTTTGGTTGGCTTGGTGCTTTTAAGGTCTACAGCAAGGAGAAGCACCTGGCTTAACAAACTGGTGAGAGCGTTCACTTGTTACTGGCTTGGTTCCTCATCAAAATATGAAGCAGCAGAAACGTCTCCTGATTTCGCAGAGGTGTGTCTCGTTGTAACAATGATCATCGGTTCGAATCCCTGTTCATTCATATTATGTTTCTAGTTTTGTCTACACTATACCCGTGCTCGTTAGTTTCACCAACGTGGTAACGCTTTAAGCACGAATCACCAGGGCTCCCCACGGCGTGATATAATTCTCATTCTGTTAAAAACGGTGTTACACTCACGTCACCCCAACCCTCATGAGATTTCATAGTCATCCGATCACAGACCCACACTAAACATAATGTATAATGTATTCCTTGGCGATGGGTAATCATGAGTGAAGATGCGTCTTTGCTTCTTCTGAAACTTTAATGTCTCCCACTTCACATCAGTCAAGGATACAATTCGGAATGAATATGTTTCTGAAAAACCTTATTTCAATTTAACAGTACTTGAACACTTTAAATAATTACTATCGGCGTCTTGGATAATTGTATAAGCTATGTCGATACAAACTCAATTAAGGTGACGCAGTGGCTAGTGAAAAAAATACACTGGTGATATCAATCAACCAACCTTTCATACATTACCATGACAACACAAAACACCAAACAAATGAAACATAAATGAAACAGCAACAACAATCGCGATTATTCAGTCAAATCTGAAAAACATTTATCTTTAGTTCGTTATGGGAAAAACGTACACTGGCTATCAATGTTAGCGTATAAGTGTTTTCTTATTTTGAATTCAAGTCGTTTTGACATTCTGTCCTTTGTCGTTTTGACCTTGTCTCCTATAGCGGTTTGAGTTTGTACCCTGTGTGGGTTTAATGAGAAATCATTTCCACTGCATGTGCATGAAATTCAGTAAAATAATACCACCTACGAGGGGCTATCAAAATACTTCTGATATGTGCATGATAAAAATAACTGTATGATATTGAAGAAGGGTATATATATCAGTCTAAGTAAACTTAGGCTCAGTATTATTCGTTGCACTGCTATACTGGTCTATACTGGTCTATAGCAGTGTAACGAATAATACTGAGCCTAAGCATACTTAGACTGATATATATACCCTTCTTCAATGTCGTACAGTTATTTTTATCATGCACATATCAGAATTATTTACTTACTGGACTTCGGAATGCGCGTCGTATGCTTATAACTCCAAAAATATGTTACCAAATTGTATGACTTGTGAACTTTCACGTGATATATAATATGATATCACTCCATCTTGTGAAAAACTATGCAGTGTTTTATGTGTAGAAGAGAACGAATCAGCTTTAAATGGTACAATTGTAAAATTCATGTCAATATTTACATCACAAAAAGTCATACCCTGTGTTACCCTCACAAAGCTCCACACAATTTTAACTAAATGTAAAGTTTAATTCTTGACACAAATGAT